TTCCAACAATCACAGCAATTTGTTTTTGATAAAGCTTGGTGCTGGTTGTTGATGAAAATTGTCCAATTAATTTAAATTTGAATGGATCCGTCTGATTTGGTGCCACAAATATTTTAAATGAGTTAATTGGTTCAGAATGTCGAGATGCATTTTCATTGTTCTCATTGAAATTGCGAACCTCTACGGTTGCATTGCTCAAAGAAATATGATTAGTCTTAATTTCAAATTCTACGGGCTTTTTAAGCAAAAATGCCGCAATATGATTTTGAGCATGAATTAATGAGTCGTGTGTTTGAATAATGGTAAAACTGATGTCGTCGGTTAATGTAAGTCGTTCTGTTAAGTTTGGCAAAACTTCACTTGTTTCAATATGGAAAACAGGAAGTGAAATGTTGTAGTAATTGGAAATGCTTGTCTCCATGAAATCGGTGGCAAATCCGGCCCTATAGTCATGTCTTGACTGATGGTATGATTGACGGATGGAGTTGACACGATGTTGTAAACATCGCAATTGTAAGTCTTTCGCACAAATTAAATCTTGATCTGTAAAACTATAAGAAATGGATGTCACGCTTTCTCTAGCTTGCTTTCTTTCATTATTAAAGTCAACAAATTGTTTTTCAGTCATTCTCATCAAAATTTGTTGGTTAATTTGACTAGGGGCATCACAATATTTCCTCTTTCTATCGTTATTGTATGAAAGATATACACATTCTTTTTTCACTAATTTGATTTTCATGTTTGAGTAACTTCTATGATAGTCCAATACTGTGGTTCTTTTTGAATAATCACGTGACTCTCCGAAAAATCCTTCAAGAGAACGTGTTCCCAATAAAGACAAATCAAAAACTGCATCTTGTGGAATAATTCTGATCAATTTCTGAATTGTTTTGATGTTATGGATAATGATGTTTTTTGTGAGGGTTCCGGATAATGTAAAATTATTATTCTTATTGGAAATAATGACGTCTTGGAAAACGGTATCCCACTCATTCAAATAGTCCAAATTTTCCTTAAGAACTTGCAACACTTCGTGCAAATTGTGTGAAGATGTTCCATCATGATTTTTGTCATCGTAAACATGAAATAAATCATGTATCGCTTTTAAGTACTTATAGAATCCTAAATATCGATAGTTGGTTCTCTCGTTCAATAATCGTAATTTTTCAAGTAACTGTAAATTGCATACATCACGTAATACATCCTCAGATTGATCATCATATTTGATAAACGAGCTCCGTTTAACTATTTTACACCACTCTAAAGGTTGTTGTCTATATATTTCATCGAGTGTGTTCAATTCAAATCGTTGTAAAATAGAACAAGAAATTTTGGTGACAGCTATGTCTTGATTGCTAAAATTTGCCACACACACTTTACCAATGTTAGTATGAAGGGTTTCACTCAACAACGTAACACTTAATTCGTTGTCATTGCTGCTATGATAGAAAGAAATGCCTCCAGAGTTAAAATTCCGTGGTTCTTTTTCTTTCCATTCAAATGAAATTGTGTCTTTGTCATTCACTATGAAGGAAAGTGGTATGTTGGTCGCTTGTGTTCTTTGAATAACAATTTTCATCAAATGGCAACCGTTTCCGTTGTCGTTGGAAGAAATACAAGCAGAGGAATGGCGTGCAATTTGAAGGTTTGGAGCACCTACTTTAGTGGCAACCGGATATAATTTTGGTCTCCCATTAATTGCATTCCTCATGTTTTTGCAATGGTGACTGTAGCAAAAATGATGTAGTTCATTTGGGCTCGATGTGAAATATTTGTAATTAGCAGACCCTGCATCTGACACAGTACAGACGATGTTTCGAGTATATGTGTCACGAAATTCAGAAATCGTGTCTCTAATGGTTTGTTCAGTTTCAGTAGTGCATACTTTGAAGTTTCCAGGAATTCGAACTTCACCGTTAATACTGCAATATAAAGTTTGAACAATTTTTTCAGCTAAAAAACCCTTGGGTGGAAAATTCGGACTCTGAGCTAGTGCAGTACAATCACTAATCTTCAATGGACCTTCATTGGCACCGTATACAAGCCCAAGCTTGGTATTGATTCCTAAATGCGGTGTTACATCTACTGCATCAATTTGAACAAGACCAAAATTTTGATTTTCAATAACCTTCATTTTTTCTACTAGCTTATCAAAGTCATCTTTGTCTAGTTTAGTATTCCCTTCTCCATATGATGCGGTGTGAAAATGATGGTCGAGTGTGGATGAACAAGGTAGGACTAAGTTACATCTTTCAGAAGAGGGTTCAAATTCTTGTCCTCGTTTCAACCCTCTCGCCAATGCTTCATACGCATTGTATCCCATGATAACCAATAAATCTTGAGCAAAACAAAGAACAGATGGGCTCCATCTATGGCCTCTACTGTCTTTGCAAATTAATTGTGAAAAAGCATCACGAAGATATGTGAAAAAGAAAGTTCGAGGTACTAATTTGCGACTACCTAACACCTGAAAAAACAATTTTTTCAATTCTTGAATATCCTCATCAAATATATCACATTCCGAATAATAACTATCATCATCGTTATTTTGTGATTTAAAATCAGCATGGTCTACAAAATTATGAGAGATGGTGTCGGACTTGGTATTTACAATTGATGAGTGTGTTGGAATAAATTTGTTGTTAATTAGTTGTTGCAGCATGTAATACGGTGCTGTTTGTTCTTTTGTTGAATATGACAACGTGATGTAGTCTTCAGCAAAACCATGATCCAGGATTTTATGTAATTCAATAACGCCGACATTTTTTTCTGGTTCGAGTAATTTCATGATGGTTGAACTAGAATAACGTTGTGACGTTGTTGAGGTTTGAGGTGGGTCTTCGCAAGCTGTACTTGTTTTGGAGTGTTTACGTTTTTGACGAATTCGCATCAGCTCGTCATGACACTCTTTCAATTTCAAATAGCCTTGAAAATGTAGTTTGTTGATCCATTCTGATGTTAACTCTTGATTTTGTCTTTGATTTTGAAATTTTGGGTCAGAGTAAATGTTATAGATAGCACTATCCTCGTCCGGGTCAATGCAATCAGTAACATATTGTGCAATCTTTGTTGAATTGTCAACCTGGAATTTGCAACAGTATAGAACAAATGGGACTCGTTTGTTGTGTGTGATGAGGTATGAGAAATATAGTTCGAGATGGCGATGGATGGTATTAAAATCCTTGCGATGAAATCCACATTGATCAATAATATCTTCTATTAAATGTTCGACATTAATATATTGATGGACTGCGAATAGCATTGTTTTGATGGCAACATGATATTCCGGTCTCAACAGACCGACAAAGGCGTTTCGTTCATGTTTTAACATTTTTATTGAAAAAACCTCCAGCAAACACCAGAACAAAACTTCGACAGCCTGCTCGACCTTTTTTAAAATGGTTAGGATTCTAAAAAATAAAGTGCTTTCCAAATGCTATTGTAACACTATTTCTGGGAGTTGGGAACGCCAGGCTTTGTCTGCAAGCAACAGAAGCAATAGCAGCCAATAATTTAAAATCGGCGTTTGATTATGTAACGCAGGCAAAACAAACATTACCTGCCAATTCTTGGTCGAACGAATCATACTATGAACAAGCTCTCAGCGTGAATTTACTGTATGCAGAATGCGAGTATGTGTCTGGAAACCATTCATCAGCAGTGGAAGTATATCAGAATATTTTGCCGAATATTGTCGATACAGTGGATCGGCTGAAGGTCCGATTTCTTCTTCTCAAGTCAGCATCTGCATCATCAAAATATGAAACCATGTATGATGAATTTGTGGACTTATTGGCGTCAAACCCTTCCACTCATTGTCTAGTTGCTAATGGCGATTCATTCACGGAGAAGTGGATTGAGTCTGCGACCAATCAAATCAAAGACGTACTCCAGAATTTTGCTGATATGAGTGAAATTTTAGAAATGAAAGAATGTGCCGATGAAGAGGCTATTGCTTTTGCAAGGTGTATTCTTGAATGTGTGCAAGGAGTATATATCGGAAAGAATTCAAACAAAATCTTTCTCTTCGTGACTCCCTTACTCTTGTTTAAAACAATGATTGAAGATGGCCTCTATGCAGATCTTACACACACGATTCTCGTTTCTCTAGGGTAAGCTTGTTGTTTCATCATATTTTTCACCTAGAATTATTTCCTTACACGACTTGAATGATTTCAATATTGTTTGAACTTTTTGCAGCTGGCAGTTAGCATACTTGGACGAACCCAAGCTTGGATGCGATTTGGCTCAAGTCGGTATCAAATCGGCACGCGAAAACCACGCAGCAGAACCCAATTATGCTCTCACCAAATTCTTTGAAATTTGCATTACTGCATGTAAAGATGGTCTGCAGGAAGTGTTACGAGTTTCTGAAGAGGCATTTAAAGCATCTGAACAAATTGAAGAAATTTCTTGGGGAGCTCAAAGCGGAGCATGGCTAGCTCTTTCGTGTATTTTACTTGGTTTAGATCGAGACACAACGAATAACTATTTGGAGGAAGTTAAAACCTTCAATAGAAAGTACTCTAAAGAATTTGAGAGCGATTTGGTAACGTGTCTAGAGCACATTCCTAATATTTTATATGGTGAAGTGGAATCGTTTTCTCCTTCGTTTTTACTTGAAGGAATTGAAGAAACCACTTATTCAAGATTGATCATTTACTTTACAAAGGCGTTAATACATTTTGTCAAAGACGAATTACAAGAGGCAGCAGAACAAATTCATGAGGCTGACGACGTCATTGATGATGCGTTTGGAACGCCGTTTTATTTACTTTACAAGTGGTTTTCAATACTTATATTGACCTCATTTTACGAAAAATATGATGACATTTCAGCAACCAAAGGTAATCAAAAGAAGTCAAAACTCTCAATAATGGAAGTCATGCTGGGACCAAATGCAAAAGCTCCAAAAACCATGAAAGAAAAAACATTGGAGAGAATTTTTGAACACGAAAAGGACGTCATTGATCTCTACGCCAAGTATCCAGTGTTTATGGAGGCTGCCATGGGATTAACATCAGCAGAAATCGCCAAGTTGAATGGAGTGGACTCACTTCAAGTCATACAGCTTTATACATCAGCGTCTGAAATTGCTCAGCGTCAAAATCTTCACTTCTATACAGCCCTTATCCAAACACGACTGGTCGATTTTTGTTTAACTCACCAGACAGATTCTAGGATTTTACGAAACTATTTTGAGGATGCTCTTAAAACATGGAATTATTGTGGTGCAAGTTTGATGGTAAATAAGCTGTCAGAACAATACCAGATTGTTTTTTCGCAACGACACTCAGATGCTCACTCCTTACATCCTCAAGATTCTTTTATGAGTTTCATACCTCCTGATTCGATAGAGTTGTCAAATGTTTTTTCTCAACAAGCAACACATTTATTAGAGTTTACTAATGCCGATCGAGTTTGTGTGATTTTGAAGGAGC